AGCCTGGGCTACCAAGTGAGTTCCAGGAAAGGCGCAAAGCTACACAGAGAAACCCTGTCTCGAAAAACCAAAAAAAAAAAAAAAAAAAAGAATTAGTCTCTGTGTGTAAAGAGCAAAAACAACCAACTACACCAAGGCAGCTTGTAAAAGACAGCATTTAATTGGGAGACTGCTTACAGCTTCAGCAGGTTAGTCCATGATCATCACTGTGGGAAGCACGGGGGCAGACAGGCAGGTAGACAGAGTGCTGGAGCAGTAGCTAAGACCTTACATCTGCAGGCGGCAGGCAGAGACAGAGGAGACTGGGCCTGGGGAGGGCTTCTGAAACCTCAAAGCCCACCCCTAGTGACACACCTCCCTCTAACAAGGTCACACCTCTCCTAAATAATCCACCAACTGGGGACCCACTCATTCAAACATATGAGCCTATGGGGGCCATCCTCATTCACACCAGCACAGTTGGCCAGGATTGTCTGACATTTGCTAAATGCCTCAGGCCTTCCACGTAGCCAACACTGAGGAAATCGGGCGCTCTAACACTTGTTCCAGGAGAGCGCTGCCCTCTCAGGAGATGAGCAGTAACCCAGCTTTGAACGAGACATTAACAGTTGAAAGGAAGAAGGGAAAAACCCAACTCACCATAGAAGAGGAAGGCCTTGGTCATAGGATGATGCTGGAAGGTCCGGTTGATGGTGAAGAAGCAGGCATCAGGCCCACACTGGCCGAGCCTGCCAGTCTCCCCAGTCAGTGGGGACCACCACAGCACAATGGGGTAGCTCCCCACATCCATCCTGTTCTTCACATCCAAGGCTAGGGCTGCCTTTTCAGGAAAGGGATTGAGAGGTTTAGGCTCCTCTTCCACTTTTTTGCGTCCGTCTTGCAAATTGGAGTTTTTAAACCTCTTCCTTTCGAATTTTCCAAGCTCGACCACTACCTGAAAGTGAAGACAACCATTATCAGAATCTGATTCTCCCCATTTCCTTCAGCACAACTCCCACTGTCCTGATGATTTAGCTTCCTGTCGGTTTTCTGTAACAACATGCCAAAACTCCTTTAAAATAACACACGTACTATCACCATACAGTTCTGGATGTTAGGAGCTAGACATGGGCTTACAGTCTAATATCAAAAGGCCAGCATATTTACATTCTTCTATAGACCTTGAGGGACAGCCCAAGCTTTTGCTTTTTCTATCTTTCAGGAATCGTTCACAATGTTTATTTGGCTCAAGATCCCATTGTCAATCTTTAGATCTATCAACACCACTTCTCTCACTACTGACACTGCCCCTTTCCCTGAAAACACCCAGGAAAGGCTCTCTGCTGCTGTGGGATAAGGCTCTAACAGACAGTAAAGATTTGTCACTGAAATTGGTTTAATAAAATGCTGATTGGCCAGTAGCCAGGCAGGAAGTATAGTTAGGGCAACCAGATTAGAATTCTGGGAAGAGGAAGGGCAGAGTCAGGAGTCCCCAGCCAGATGCAGAGGAAGCAAGATGAGAATACCTCACTGAGAAAAGGTACCAAGACACATGGCTAAACATAGATAAGAATTATGGGTATTTTAAGTTTAAGAGCCAGTTTAGAAATAAGCCTGATCTACCGGCCAAGCATTTATAAATACTACTAAGCCTCTGAGTCAATTATTTAAGAAGTGGCTGCTAGGTATGTGGGAACAGGAAGGCAGGAGAGAAATTTCTGCCTACACTCTGCTTTTAATGACTTCTGTGGATAATTCAAGATAATCTCCCGTCTTGTTCCACTGGGTACCGCTATAACAGAATACCTGAGGTTGATAATCTCTAAAGAATAAAGATTTGTTTCTCATAGTTCTGGAGACTGTGTTTCTGACATTGAGGAGGTCCAACAGAAGGAAAGGCAAAGGAAGGGCTGGAGTGTAGCTTAGTGCTGGTATACTTGCCCACTACACTCAAAGCCGAGGGCTTCATCCCAGCACGTGCCTTCCACCAAAGAGATTATTTTAGAGCCAGAGTAATGATATATACATGCAATCCTAGCACTTAAGAGGTTGAGGCAGTAAGATACCAAGTTCAGAGTCAACATGGGATATATAGTGAGACCTTGTCCCAAAAAAGGAAAGAGAGAGAGAGAATCAAATTCATCTTTTTATCAGCAACCCGCTCCTGGGATAGCCCAGTTCCATTATAATGGCGTTAAGTCCTCCACAAGAGGACACACACCCAGCAGCCAAAAGCAGCTCCTTGTTAATGGGCTTGTTATTCCTAGTGTGAGAAAAGGGCCATTGACCACCATAAATCACCTGGAGTTCATAACTCCCTAGGGAAAGGGTAAAACTTTGACTAGATTCTCAATGTACCCATGCCAACTAAGATGTTAAGACCTTCTCTATGAAAGCCAAATGCTATTCCAAAAGAGTAAAAAAAAAAAAAAAAATGCATTAGCTTTAAGCAACTGAAACCAAATCAGCCCTGCCAAGAGCTTCCTCGGCATTTTTATAATGTAATAGTGTGGCTCTTCCCCAAAAGCTTGATGGAAGCAAGTTAATTGACAGCGCAGACCCTCTCTTCATTTGACCTTCCTTCTTACTAACGTACAACCAATAACTTAAGAAAAGAAAGAAAGAAAAGCCTGTCAAAAGTCCATGAGCTGGAACTTCACTACAAAATTTGTTCCGTGTGTCTCACCCATGTCTCCTGTGTGAAGTGTAAGTTCATTTATAAATAACAGAGGCAGTTTTAAGGAGAGCTGTTTCTGCAAATCAGCTCTTAATGTGTATCCCTAGATGTCATTGTCAGGTTGTAGGAAATACGAGAGATAGAAGGACATGAAGCAAAACCTTAAGGATAAGATTAGCCAAATCCACAATGCAAAGGGCAAACAAACCAGTTTCTTCCACCAATCCAAGACACAGAATAAAAACGTGGAACAAAAGAAACTTCCCCTAAATAAATAAATAAACAAACAAATAAATACATAAATAATAGATAAGATACAAATGCGAAACTTGAGATTCGCCAGCCAAATGCAGTGTGTAGAGATGTGTTTACTGCAGATTCAGAATCCCATTATAAAAGGGCTTTTCTCCGGGAGAAATCTAGCACGCCCACTAGAGGGCACTGAGAAACAACTGCTCACTGCCGTAGGTGACATAGAGCAGTTATGTGGTTATGTTTTTTTAAGTCTCTGGGCTGGAGAAATGACCCAGTGACTAAGTGCACGTACTGTACTGCTCTCCTAAAGACCTGAGTTTGGTTCCTAGCACTCACATTAGGCAGCTCAAAACTGCCTGTAACTATAGCTCTGTAGGATCTGAAATCCACTTTTCTGTGCAGGCACCCACACAAATGTGGCATACTTACACACAAGCACACATGTGCACATACACACACAAAAAGGAAGGAAGGGAGGGAAGGAGGGAGGGAGGGAGGG